CCCAACTTTTCTTGAATAACTGCTTCCTGGGATCATGGTCCACTTCCTGTCCACATCATCCATAAAAAGATGTCCTCTTATGATTTTTTAATGTATTTTAATTTGTTATTTTGGTTTTTGAAAGTAGCCGAAACCCTGTTGTGATAGCTGTATAACAATTCCTGTGTGGTACGACAAATGATGGTCATAGAAAGCAGTTATGCAAACAATTTGTCTGCAGAAGAAAAACACATTTTGATTTAATGAGTACTCTCACTGAACATGTTCCTTTGTGTTAGCTTGTGGGTGTATCATTTGTTACTGTTGGAAAAATATTGTTCTTTTACCTTTCTTAGTATAATGATGATGATAAGGAAATAGTGCCCGCTTTAGGCTGATGCCTAAATAGATAAGTGGACAAATAAGAAGCCCACAGGAAAAACAGGCGTAGTCACAAGATGGAAAACATGAATATAGATGCATCAATTTTAAAAGCGTGCAGACTCAACTTCCTTTCTGTATTCAACTGTTGGTTGATTACTTATGTTCAATTTCCCATTCAACTTTTGTTGTTTTTCCTTTGACTTTGAAGTTTGCCGTGACTTCACGAATTGGTCTGTTGAGGGTGAGTGTGGTTTCAAAGATGACGGACTAGGCCTATTCAGGCTCAAAAGGTTCATGTGCAGTGTGGGGACAGGTGTGGTCAGCTGTTGGACTTGTGGTGGAGGCAGGTCTGGACTTGCTCTTGTTCGTTTTCGTTTGGCTTTGGCGATTCGCTTGGCTTCTGCTACTTTGGCTGCCTTTGTTAGTTTGCAGCGCCAGGTCGGGCGATCTAGGGCTAGTGTTTCTCTTGAGTTGTTCAAGATTCCAAGTGTTTTTAGTGAGACATTGGAATCTGTCCTTGAAACGTTTTTTTCTTTCCTCCAACTGAGTGCTTGCCATGATACAGCTCCCCATACATCAGCTGTTTGGGCTGTCCGCCATTCTGACTACGTGGCCGGCCTCCTGACTTGAGTTTTCTGGAGGAGGGTGTAGATGCATTGGATATCAACCCGCTCTAAAATGTCCGTGTCTGGGGCTTTGCCCTGCCATCTGATGTGAAGGAGTTTACGGAGACATCTCAGTTTGAGTTGATTGAGCTGATTTGTGTGTCTGTTGTAGACAGTCCAGGTTTCACTAGCGTAGAGAAGGGTGGTAAGAACCACTGCCTGGTAGACCTTCAGCTTTGTGGAGAGGCTAAGGCCTCTGCGCTCCCAGACATTCTGGCGGAGTCTCCCAAAGGCAGCGCTAGCCTTGGCAACTCCATAAATTTCAGCACCTATCTTAACAGCAAGTGCTGCCTGGAGTTTCTGTTCCTTCACCATGATTTCACTTTCAGGCACTTTGTATGGTTGTCGGGGACCTGGTTTTCGATTTTCTTAGTACTGATTGTGAGGCCGAAGTTGTCAAAGGCTAAGGTGAAACAGTTCATTTCCTTTTGCATGCACTCTCTCTGTGCTAGCATTGAGTGCACAGTCCTCAGTGGAAAGAAGTTCCCTGATGACCGTTCCCTTCATCTTGATTATGGCCTGGAAGCACCTAATGTTGAACAATCTGCCGTCAGTTTTGTATCTGATTCAGATGCCATCTTCACGAAAATCTCTCACATAGTTTAGCCAGTCAGTCAAAACCATTGCCCTGTGTGTGGCCACTGCCGTACACTAGCAGTATCCGTGGGGCCATACGTGAGCTATGTACAAGAGTGGGGATCAAGTAGGGTCATGACCCTCCTTACAGGGTGTGACTTTCATTCATTGGGGTGTTTGGTTCAGGGGGAGGGGTAGGACCTCTTGGTGAATGACAGAATGACCATTCAGCTAACAATAAAATGAAACCAACTGTCAAACGTAAATAAGCTTTTTAAAGTGCTACCCTCATGATTTTCACTTTGTGACTGCTTTTTTTTCCTATGGACTCCTGTAATGTATTGTTGGTTTTGTGAAGGCGTTCAAGACTGCTCGACTGCTCAGTATAAGCCTCCACCATACACCACTTTTCACAATGGTGCATGGCAGAGTCTTATGCAAAGCAGTGGAGTTGCATAAGATATTTGAGCCAAGATATAGGTGCTTTGGACTCACAGGGTTTCTTTGCCATGACTGTTACTGTGTCCTCTCCATAAAAGTGCTTAATAGCATATTTTAGTCATCACTGAAGTATGTAGTAAAGTTCTCAAACTTACATGTTATGTTCCCATTCTTAGTCAAAGTCATATTTCGATTTTATTGTATTGTGAGTCTAGGATTTGGATATTCAATTATCACTGCTGACAGACAAAATGCTAAATGATCATGCTGCCTGTGTTTATATATATGGGCTGATGTTTGTTTTCATTCTCTTAAAAAAGGGAAAAAGTAGTTTTGAAAAACTCATACTTCAGTTTTTGCTAAGATGATGTATAACTCAACTTTCATATGGTTTGTCTCCCTGTTGAACTGAGATAATGACGTCCATTTAACTGACTGAAGGCTGCATAGTGCTTCAAAGAGTTTAGGAGACAAAAATAGTCAGATATGGTTTCTTCTCAACTTTTTCTCTCCCCTATTCCTATGATGCTCATATATATTTGTGTTCAATTAGGTAATGTGCTTTTTCAAAGTTCTTCCGTAGATCAAATGTTTTTATATACGTGATCTTCAATGATATTTATGTCAAGGAATAAATGCTCATTTTCCATAGGATCATTCAAATTGTCTTTGAGATTATCAGTTAAGCAAAAGTTATTACTGCCATATGACAACTTTTTAATTGAGTTGTGCTCTTAGTAATGTTTGTGTGTCTTAAGTCTGTTGGATAATGTTTTTATTGACATATAGCATATTCTTAATATTTTAATTTGATTCTCAACAATAACACTGGCTTAAAAGTGTCAATATCATGATTGTGTGTTTGTAAAAAGTTAAAATTTACTCAGTGTATGAATTGTGAAACCTCATTGTAGTTGTTCTCTTTTGTGTGAGCAAGTTCTGCTGTAGCAGACCTGCCAAGTATTCTGATAAAATAGGAGCCCTCCAATTTTGTTTTGCCTATGGAAGAACCTTGATGGGATTTGCTTGAAATCCGATTCATTAGTTGAAATCTGTTTCCATAAGTCATACAGAACTTATTCAAAATGATATAGATATGCACCAGGTTTATTTGCATTTATTTGCAACTTTTGCAAAAATTATGGCACATGAGTTGAAAATACTCATATTCATTTGCGTGTGTTTGCGTGTATTTGCAATATACATGTTTATATGCCATGATCGGATGGCAACATAATCTGAATCTACAGGGGTTCTGAAGATTGATTTTTTCCCCCTCTAGCTTCTATTTTTAAGGTTTGGGGAAAGCTCTTTATATTTTTGCATGGAGGCGTTGGAAGGTCTGCTGTTGTAGTACCAGAGAGTGGAGTTGGAAGGTCTGCTGTTGTAGTACCAAAGAGTGGAGTTGGAAGGTCTGCTGTTGTAGTACCAAAGAGTGGAGTTGGAAGGTCTGCTGTTGTAGTACCAGAGAGTGGAGTTGGAAGGTCTGCTGTTGTAGTACCAGAGAGTGGAGTTGGAAGGTC